CGCGACATAGCGTCCCAATATAAAAATGTCAGAAATATTCAATTTAACGATTTCAGTCGCTTCGAAACTGAGAATAAATATCTCCACTCGACTCAGCATGGTTGATTACCTATATTTCGAGGCTTTTGGAGTGATCCAAGGTCAGCTGGCCGAAATCAGGGCTCTCAGGAAAATGCTTATGGTTCCTGAACAGAACAAACTAAAGAGCTGAGCCTTGTGTACATCAATAGAGAACAATTTTCTCTATCGAATGGTTGTATTAGAATTTCAAATCCAACGAGGAATCTTTTCACTAGGCAGTGTCCAACATGTCAAGCGAAAACTCACCTGATTGGTTAATTGTCGGCCAATCAGCTTTTGATATTTCTATATAAAATATATTATTCTCTTTCGAATGCTGAAAACCGCAGGTATCTAGCTGCTTCCTATCCGGAGTTATTCAACTTACAACCGAGTGCATTGTTCATTGAAATGGATAGTAGTATATAGTTTTTGATTTTATTGTAATATTTGTTTTGATAAGCTAAATGTACAGGAGTATAAATTTTCATAAATATTAAAAGCAGGATTTTCTGCACGTATAGAATCTAAAGTTATACATAGAAAGAAGGTTAGAAACGTTTTATTATAATTAATTTATGCATTTGTATATGAGAATAAACGCGTAAACTTGTATCAAAAGAAAGTATAAATGAAAGGAGAACGAGTTAACTTCACGGATCGAAACGGATTCGATTAATTAAAACTTGTAGACAAATAAAAGCTTTAAAATATTTGCTTGTCATCCAACACTTCTCTTGTCACCCCTCCCGTTTTAGTAACTCAACGTTAATCGTTATGAAATTTACACGGTTATACTAAGAAAAAAACAGAATATTACAATTTGTATTTTGTTTGTCTTGAAACGCGAGAGGGCGAGAGCAAGGAAAACAAAGAATCGGGACAACAATATATTGATTATATTGAAACATTTTCTTTTGTTCTCTCTCTCTCTCTTTGTCGTTCTTCTTCTCTGTGATAAAAAAAGACATTTTTATTTCTTGCCTATAATGCTCCTTTATTTCGAGATTTTTGGCAGATATACAGCGATTCGATTGTTTTTTCGTTCTATTTTTCTCTATCCGTTATCATTCATTAATTATTGAAAGTAAACATTCATTTTGAGATCAACGAAAAAAAGGCCGACGATATGTATCACCTGTGAATATCGTTACATCTATTTTTAGAATTAATCATCTCATCTAATTCAATAAAAGTCAAAACATTTTCATTACTTCAATATTCTTATAACACTAATTAACGATTATCCTTTGCAAAGCATATTGTAAGGTAAAAGTCAGTTTTATTGGTTCCTTCTTTATTCAAATCATAAACTAATTTGAGGTTCTGTGCAGTACGAGTAACGAAACAAAAACAAATAATTTTTTGGTCTTCAACATATAACTTCGACAAAAACACTTTTACTAGTTAGTGGTTATTCTACGATATCGCTCAGAGACAAAAGATCTTTTCACGGTAATTCCTTGCACCGACGCTTTCGGTTATTCGCTTGTGTAGACATGAACTCGGACAGTATTCGTACATCATGTCCCGGTTATCTGGACAATTATGGAATATGGAATAATGGTTTCGATTGTCCACCAATACAGTCACAAATTCGTTCTTGTTGTGGAACAGAATCGAAACGTTATTGTTGTAGTGATAATACTATTCATCGTGATAGGTCAAAACTAATAAATATTATATCATCGACTTCAGATATATTCTTACCAACATCATCATCACCATCCTATCGATTTTTATCATCTTCTCTATTGACTTCATTATCATCATCGAGAAATCTGTATTTTTCTCTACCAATTTTAATTTCGTTTATAATCGGACTTTTATCCGTTATATTTTTAATATTATTTATATGTCGTTATCGTTTACGTAAAAGCCCACAAGCATTACAAAAGAAACAACAATTAATTCTATTAGATTCAAATATACAAATAGAAGATTCTAGTCAATATCCATTTTCATATCATAACCATCATCATTATATTAGAAAGCATGAAAAACAAACGTGTAGTAATTTACGTACAAGTGATATAACCACAACTACAACAACTGCTACGTCCTCATCATCAGGAGAACTATCAACCATGTATTTTAATGATTGGAAAGAATTTCTTGTTTCAGAATCAACTCCAATGAATTTATATCCTTCAATGTCATCAAATAGTATTTCAGATGAATATATCACCACACCGTATACAGATTTATTTTCAAAAAAAAATCATCAAATTATATAATGAGTTTTCTAGAACAGTACTCGAACAAACAAGGCATACAATTGATTTATACATACTACGCGCGTCTAATCTATATAATGTACTATAACGTATGTACGTATTATTTTAATTTTACATGGTACAAAAAATGTTCTTATTCTGCTTATGTCTGTAGTCATACGATATCAACTACAACTGCCGAATATTTTTAATCTATGAATAATTTTTTTCGTGTGAATGAGTAATATGAGATGAGCTAGTTAGTAGTTTTGAAAATATAAAACATAATAGAGATTAAAACTGATATATATTATGTTTTGAATAAAATACTTTGAAAAAAACGTTATCTCATTTTTTAAAACTATTTAGAAAATTTGTTATTTTTATTAATATCATAGTTCAGAAATCTGTTCTAAATGTTCTATTAGACTCCGTTACCAATAAGAGTGAGACAACAATTTTTTCAAGCACGGAATTAGATTGAAAAGAGCAGTCTTTGATTGTTTAGAGCACGGAAAAGTAATTTATTAGAGAATGGAGTCTCTGACGATTGAAAAGAGAACGTTTTAGCAGAATCATATGTACTAACATGATTTTCTAGCAATATATTAACCTTCTTCAATGTTGACAATAGAGAAACAACAAAAAAATCACAGATAACAAGTTCATTTTACTGTTCGCATTTGATAATCGCAATCAGGATACTTTTTTTTTATATAAACTTTATTCAAAATAATAATACAAGGAAGAACATAGCCGAGCTATTGCTCATTATAACATTCTTACTTGGCGACAAAATGTTGAATGATGAATTAGATTCCTGAAGAATAAGAACAGAAATAATCAACAAGTGAATGAATGACGTAAAAAAGACATCAAAAGGAAATGAGAAATGAAGAAGTGAAGAAAACGCAAGGATAGATGATAATAAGAGACAGGGTAGGGGAACGGTGACACAAATCTGAGGAAATTCGGTTGTATAAAAATAAAAATAATTGATTGGTTTGGTAGGTGATGAACCATTTAAAGCGATTTGTTTCTTTAATGTATTTTGTAACAGCACTAGCAATCAACTTGATCGAGTCTAAATCCTTGTGAATTCTTAGGGGCACAAGATCTAGACTAAAAGGTCCAACAGACAGTAACGATTCGTACAATTCCCTTCTCTGGGTTTTATATATATCACAATTAAGAGATTAATGAGAAAGACTTTCAGTTTGGCCACAATCGCACACATCCGGCTCACCGTTACTTAGCAAATTTCTTTCCTTTAGTATTTCGCGCAATGGAGGGAAGCCTGCCCGACATCGCGTGAAGAAAGCTTCAAGACGCCGCGGGACATTCGGATTCAGATAATAGCTTTTATTTAGATTTTTTAAAATCGAGATATTAAATTTGGTTTTGAACTTTGTCGTAGAAGTAGATGCTGAGATTTCCGTAGATAGGTTGTTCCATTCAAGTGGTACACATGCAAAAAATGTTTGTCTAATTGCTGTTCCTTTCAAATGATCAACAACATAGAGCCAACGATTGTTAGATCGAGCGTTATATCTGGTATTCAACGGGGCAAGCTTAACATGTTCAGTTAACAACAAAACACAAAAACACAATAAAAAATACACATTGAAGGATAACATCGAGTCATTGCACAACTTCAATCATTGTGCAGAATATAGGAAAGAACAGCGAAGTTGATTTGCAGTTCGTCTGCAAAGATCAAGTTCGTGTGTTCGATCCTAGCTTCGTGCAAGGATTGATTTTGTGTTTTGATAGTTTAAGTTTCAGAATGATATAATGGGAATTTATATTCTCGATTTC